CAGACTCAGCCAGCCTCGGGACGCAGGCTGCATTCCGTCGATCGTGACGAGCAACAGCCACGGCCTCTGCAATGTGGATTTGCCTAAACAACTGAACCTAGCAGTGCAGTATGGTCACGAGTACTTATTAATTTAAACAAGCAGTGGTTTCTAACTAGGCTGTTACAGACACACCTCATCATTTCCGTTGAAGCGCCCCCACCACATTGCTACCCTCGACCTCCAGGCACTTGAAAGGCCTTCCAATGCCCTGCAATTTAATAGTATTGTCTGGCTGAGGAAACTTTCGTGAAACTAGCCACCGCAGTCCAAGGAGGCTGTCCCGGTGTGAGGCTTGTATCTTTTTGGCTCGCATTACTGAGCAAACATCCAACTAAAAGCTTCTGCTGCGCAAGCAGGCCGCGAGGACACTCAGCCCAGGAACTTCAACAAGGCATCAGCATCATGCTTTGCATTAGAGATGTGGTTCAGGTGAATTTCGGCATCGCCAGGAAACCACAAAAGAGACAAGGTTGCGTTCCAACCGGTTTCCAGTTCCATGAGCTGGTTCTTTGTGATAAAGCGTCCCCTGTACTGTAAGCGCTTGACCATGGCGTCATTCTCATCGCGGTAGGTCGGAAGGGCCATTGGGACAACCTCAATAGCTGCTCCAACATGCCACCCGGACTCGAAGGCGCATCGTACAGTGGTCAATACCGCTGCAAGAGTTTTTGTGGCTGCCAGAGCTTTGTCCGCGTACCCGGGCAAGATTCCAGCTAAGGTACCCATACCGTTTCTGACCGACTCCAACGGGCCAACGACCAGGTCGTACTGTTCCTCGACCGGCAACGCAGCCAGCGAGAACAAGACTGCTCGGGCCCAAGCTTCCACGGAGTCCATCGGAGCACCCATACAACTTACTAACAAGGCTGCGGCTGGTATAGCTGCGTGAGCCAGTCATCAGAATCATGACACTCAAGTTTGCAGGAAACAGGCGAGGCTACACTGTCTTTTATTGAAAAGTCCATATCGGTCTCCTTTCAAAGAGTAACCAAAAGCCAGCCTTCTCCACGTCCATTCCACCACGCCATGTCCGCCTGCCAGGTGGTGCGGGGCTTTAGAGCAAGGGGGGAGGGGGGGAAGGTGTTCTGCTCAGCTTGGCATGCAATCTCGATGAACTATGGTTTTTGACTAGACAGCTCATCGTCAAGGCTGTCCACAGTTCTGGTCCACCTTGCCCAGGCTGTGTTGACAAGTATTAATTAGTGAGGCAGGTCTTCGTTTGTGAAACGATTGCTATGTCACTGCTCACCGGAAAGGTGTCCCAGCACTTCGTCGCCGCGATCGCTGTCGAAGAAGGGAAGGCGCGCCCAATACCATCTCAAGTCGCCGTGAGCCCACCAGCACACGCCATGAGTCTGGCGACGATCAAGCACTGGGAGATAGGAGAAAATGAGACAAGCAACCCTTTGATCAGCGGTAAGGTCTGCAAAGTCCAGGACGATGCACGGTAGAATCACCGCTTGAAGGGGTGTCACAATGTTCCCGTTGCAATCACAGATGGCAGGTGGTGGCCGCTTCGGGGGCATGTGCGCGAGGCGCGGTCGTAAGATGATGCTGAAGAACCAAAACGCCTAAACCGAGTCGTCGTGACACAGCGAGGTTGTGTTAAGTACGTTTCAACGACACATACAAAGACACAGAGAGAGAGATAGATAAATCGCCCAATGACATCTTTGTCTTCAGGGGAAGGCCGTCTGAAAGCTTGAGGGTTTGGCGGTTGTGGCCTGATTTGTACTCCTACATTAGTGCTAATTAGAAAGGTTTGGGTTGGGTGTCAGAATGTTGTTGGGGCTTTGAAATTCATTCAATAATTTAAAAATGCGCTGCGTCGTTAATGATTCGGAGGGTTGCTTGCTCCCAAAGAGTAAGGGCTTGGGGGTGTCAGTGTGGGTTTCCGAGTTCTGCGTGGTGCTAACAGAAGGGTTTGAAGGGGAGGCCGCCAAAGACCCCTGAAGCCGCGTAACCCCCGGGGAGGCCGCCTTCCCCCCAGTAAGCGCCTTCCCCTGCATGCCTCCAGCCGGTGCCCAGCGTCGAGCTGGCAGGCTTTTGGCGGCCTGCGGCTTTGGATCGGTGCCGTGGCGTGCTTATTTTCGGTAGTACATTCGTAACTGGATTTCGTCACTAGAGAAGGTGTTAGTAGGTTTTTTGATAACATCGTTTGGGCTCCCTTAGGTGAGAAGAAGTTTTGCTACAGCACGTACTTAAGTAACTATAGCTACACCGTAGCTACATTCTTCGCAAGACAAGGTAATTAGTCCGTAACTACGTTGGACAGTCACTAGTTAGTGACAGTAACTACGTTTGTAAGTACATGTAAATACGTTGTAGCTACGTTCGTAAGTACATGTAACTACGTTCTTACTGGCGTTGTAGTTTTGTTGTTGCTGGTCCGGCTTCGACGTCCGCCATTTAAGTCTTGCAGCAAGTAGTTCTCATTCCGGCAGGTATACCTGCGGAGATGACGGCGTGCTTTGCTTCAACGAATGCCCCGGACTGAGAGCCGCGTTTGTTGAGAGTGGTGGTGCTGATGCTGGTGCTGGTGCTGGTGCTGGTGCTGGTGCTGCTGCTGCTGCCGCTGCCGCTGCCGCTGCCGCTGCTGCCGCTGCCGCTGCCGCTGCTGCTGCTGCTGCCGCTGCTGCCGCTGCTGCTGCTGCTGCTGCTGCTGCTGCTGCTGCTGCTGCTGCTGCTGCTGCTGCTGCTGCTGCTGCTGCTGCTGCTGCTGCTGCTGCTGCTGCTGCTGCTGCCGCTGCCGCCGCACGCTTTCATGTTTGGCATGCCCGTTCCATGAGCGAATGCTGTGTTGGTGGATCAAGAGATCAACGAAGGTGGCAACAGTAACAGCAAGCAGGTGTCAAGAACGCAGGCACTAAGCTTAGGCTTTTTAGCCCTGCCTTGCCTGCCATGTGGCATCATGGCAAGGGCAACTCGTGGTGCGGCGGGCCGCCGCCCCCGTCGTTCCACGAGCCATGGTTTGGCGGCTGGGAGGAATTCCCGGAGGGAAACGCCCGAAGGGCAGCGGCTGCGGCATCTGCCGAAATGTCGGCGAGGCCATTTGTTCCGTTTTTGTGGCACCCTAAACCCTAAACCCCAAACCCTAAACCCTAAACCCTATATAAACCCTAAACCCTCAACCCTCAAAACCCTAAACCCTAAACCCCTGAGAGCAGGTACGACGCCGCTTGGATGCGTTCCCAAGGCGGGCACGCGGCCAGGAGGATGGATGAAATGGAAAGGAGCGCATCCAAGAGGATGGATGAGCTGGAAAGGAGGACGGCCACGCTTGAAGGGCAGGTCCAGGCAGGGTTTTGATATGCTGAGTTGGAGTCGTAAGCCACAATGACATCACAGCAAACCCCACTCAATACTCAAATTCCACCCGCCCTCCCTCGTCGAAGGCGCTGATGCTGTCTCAATCGCCGTGGCTTCCGCCGATACCGCCGCCCATACCGCCCGGGCTCTCGTCTACCTTGCTCGGGCAAGGCCTTGTTTTGGCGGCAGCAATACTTAAATGGAAAACGTTGTGCACATTTTTGAAAGAATTAAATTAAAGCCTGGGTTGCTGCGCAGGCATGCCGGCGAATGCTGCTGGCAAGGGGCCGTGCCCTGGTGGCGCAGACTCCACTGGGACAGGCCAGCAGGCACAGTCACAGCCCATGCCGAAATCGAGGCCCGGCTCGGTAGGGCAAATGAATCGGCTGCAGACGCAGCCGCCACAGACGGCGTCGCCGCCGCAGACGGCGCCGCAGCAGACGGCGCCGCAGCAGACGGCGCCGCAGCAGACGGCGCCGCAGCAGACGGCGCCGCAGCTGACGGCGCAGCGGCAGCCGCAGCGCCAGCCGCAGGAGCTGCCGCCAGGCACGTCCCCGGAAGAGCGGCGAGCAGGACCTGTGCGCCAACCCGTCACACCGCCCAAGGCCACGCCGCCGACAACCACCCGACGCCGGGGTCGCGAGGAGGAGGAGGAGGACGACAAGTCTGATGAGAGAGCGGAGCTGCCGCCCATGCGGTATGATGCACCCTTTCCAGGGGAAGCGCCGCGGCGGCCACCAAGGTCACTGGGCCCGGAGCAGCAGGACCAGGCAAGGCCCGCGGAGAGAGCGACGGATTGGAAGACGACCCGAGACTCGCAAGACGCCTCTGGGATAGTTCAAGTAACTGTTTTTTTCTGCAAAAAACTAACATATGTTCTGATAGAAGTATAAATACTTTAAAATTTAAAGTTAAGAACAATATCAAGAATATAATAATAAGCCAACATCATCAGAGTATTGTTCACTATCGCCCAAACGCATGCATGTGTTTGTACGTGTATGTCGGTCGTTGAAGGCAGTGCATGGGCGCGGCTGGGACACGGATGAGGACTACTACCAGGACCACCGTGGCAAGCGGCAGAAGACGTCCCGGCACCGCCACTAATTAATTTTCGCCTTTTTGATTTTGTTGTGCTGTCACGCGAAGACCCTGCACCGCGGACTTGAAAATGAACAGTCCCAGTGTCAGCCATGCCACAGCAGCCGACTTTCATGTGAGCATTGAAATTGAGTCCAAGCTTTTGCCAAAACACCTTCGGCCCAGGAAGCGAGACTACCGACGGTGTGCATCTGGGCCGCGGACTGAGCGTTCAGAGGTGTTTGGTCCAAGTAGCAATCGCACCCCAGTCGCTTCCATGTTGTCGTGTTTGCCTCTGTGATCTCCTCTGCATCCAGGTGCTGTTTACGAGTTGGGAGACCCGAAGGCTCGGACAGGGCAGCGTGGAGAGGGTTGCGTTTGAAAGTTGAAAGAAGGGATCATGCGCAGCGCCGCAGCGAGTGTCTTCACGAGTGTTGGACATGGGTGGATGATGACAAAAGAAATAGTCTTTGCCACTAGGTCGGCATGTTTACGTACCATGGAGGGTTCGTAGCAAGTGGACATGTGTTATGTTTATTGAATAGGAAGTCTATGCTTCATCGAGATTCATGTCTCTGTCAAAAACATGGGCGAGAAATGCTGAGAAGTGGAAGCAAGAGTTTCTCGTATGCCCGAAGCAGCCAGCTTTAGGAAGCTGGCTGATGATTGCCGGCAACGGCTTGGGCTGCAAGATCTGTTTTTTGGCGGAGCAGAAGACTGAGTTCGGGCGGTGCCTTCTGACGTCGCCTCGCCAGATCAGCTTGGACAGGTTCCGAAAGCACCAAGCCACAGAGGTTCACCTGCGAAGCTTGGCGCGGTTGGTGGGCTGCGAGTGCTGTACTTCGAAGCTTGATGATGTGGTGGATTCCAGGGATGCTCCTTCCTTTGCAGATTTTCAGAGAATGCTGGATATGCGACGGAGTGGAATCAGCTTGCGCAAGACAGGCTTCTGTAAGAAAGCAGCGTGCCTCCAGTACTGTCTTGGAGAAGCACTTCGGGAGCAACTGCGATCGGCTCTCAGGTCCTGCGTGACGATTGTCACGCATGCGGATGGCAAGAACAAGCGGTTCACGATGCATTTCACGGCAGTGGACCGAGACCTCGAGATCATCAAGAGCACTTTTGGGCATGCATGGCAGCAGGCAGCAGAATACAACCCTGTGGAGGGCTACGTGCGGCTTGTGGACCAGGTCTTGAAGAACTTCTGCACGCCACTGGCGTCTCCCCCCAAAGCCAAGAGAGCTCCAGAGCTGTTTGACAGGGAGTTGTACAATCTGCTGCGTGAGAAGCATTCGGCTTTCAACACGGATGCCTGCAAAGTCATCATTCTGGCAGGCCAGGAGGTCGTCAACCATTTGGGCACGAACCCGGATCCACTTTTTCCCAATGCTGTGGCCTGGATCAAAGATCACACGCATTCTGCGCGAAGGAGACTTGGCGAGGTAAATGAAGATGTGGAGTAAATAATGTTTGTTTTCAAAGTGCCATTCATGCTGATGGTTCCGCCATGAGGATCATACAGCGTGTGTGGCGAACAGACGATCGCCTGACGGAGATCATGGAGACACTGGTCACATCTGGGTCTGCTTTTTTGAAGCATCTGAACCACAGCCCGGAGTTGCAGTCGCTGTTTCAGGCGAATCTAAAGAAACAGAAGCACGTCTCCAACACAGGGACGTCTCACAGCCTCTCGTACGCAGCCCACCGCTTCGACAGTCAGGTGAAGCCTTTGGCGCATTTTCTGCTTAGTTTCGAGGCTGCGCTCGCCACGGCCATGCAAGTGCAGAGTCTGCGCGCAGGGGACGACTATGGCAAGGACGCTGTTCTTGTCGTTTCTGGTTGGGAAGGCCGGGGCCGAAAATATTCTGCAAACTGCCCTCATGGTGGACGCAGGAGACATGGTCATGTGTTTGCTTCGATTTTTTGACAGAGCAACCTTTGATGTTGCCTTGATGGGGGAACAGCTGCACTTGTTCTGTCAAAAGTTGGATTGGGCCTTCAACAAGAAGCACATCCTGGAGTTGGAAGACTCCTTCACGGGTCATGCCCTTCGACTCCTCGCCAAGACGCACATCGTCAGGATTCCAGGCCAGAAGTGGGGGTCCGGGCCCCTGACTGTGGGCGGTCCTGGCTTCGTAGCGGCTGCTACGAGGCAGCGGTGCTTGGCCCGAATGCAGGCGTTCGTCGTTTTGGCTGTGCAGACTGTGCGAGCTGAATTCCCTTCCTTCGAGCCATTGCAGTGCTTCGGAATCTTTGCTTTGCGCGAGAGAAGCCTGGTAGGCGATGTGGCATCGAAGTTGGAGCGCGTGGCAATGTTTTGCTCTGTGGACGCGTCTGCATTGCGATCAAAGTACCAGCACTTCCTGACAAAGGCCGTGTCGTATTACCGGTCACAGGCAAGCTGCAGCAGCTTCGACGCGTGGCGACACGTCATGCTTCAGGAGGCCCGTGCAAAGGGCCGTAGCATGGAGTCCTTGGCACCGGAGTTGTTCCGGGCAGTGGCGCAGCTGGGAGCTTTCACAGGGTGCACGACGTCGTGCGTCGAAGTCACGCACAGCGTCCAAGATTGGCTTTGGCCGAAGCGACGGAACAAGCATCTCAGTCTACAGTGCGAGGTAAATGAGATTACGATCGCGACTTCACCGCCGGGACAGGCAGCTGACGCCAAAACGATCGCAGTGGCTCGTGATGTGTGGAGGACCGTCTACGGGCGGCCCCGGGCCATCCAGCGAGCAGCGCGCCAGGACAAGGGCAAAGAGAGAAGCAAAGGGAAAAGAAGCAAGACCTTGGGTGGTTTTTTCAAGCGAGCCCGTGCTGCGGTGACTCACCATGCCAGGCATCACAAGATCCGGTCTATCCAGCAAGTCGGGTACGATGCTGCGCCGGGGGCTGCTGCTGTTTGGAGCGAGAAGATGAACAATGAGCTAGACTTTCTGGCAGAGACGCTTGGGGACACAGCAGTGAGTTTGACTGTTTCGCAGGCAGAGTGAAAGCTTAGCATAAACATGAAAAATCACGTCCACAACGTGGACGCACCCATGGTTTCATTATTATTGCAGCACCCCACCCTTGCCATCTGAGGAAACAAGAGGACGCGTTTCATGCGTGCATCCTCGGCGGCCAATTGAAGCAGCCGGACTTCACTCCAGGACAGGCAGAAGAAGCAAAGAAAAGGAAGGCCCGCGCGTTGACGCTGCAGCAAGAGCGTGCGGAGCAAGCAGAGAAGCGACGCAACACCTGCAGTTTCACTGCTGTGAGGCTCTGCGCCGGTCAAAAGTGCTACTTCCAGCCGGGCATCTCAGACAATTTGGGAAGAGAGGCCGTGAACATGAAGCGGGTACGGCTGACTCGTCGCTGGATCGAGGCAGACTGGTTTGTTCTGGAAAGAATTGGAGATATGGCCACTCAGAATCTCGCGTGGGCTGCTTGTTTGCTGGGCGGTTTTCTTGTTGATGCCACTTACATGCAAGATGCCGTGGCCGGGAATCCCAGCGGCGAACCGAGGGGTGTTTGTGTCGCTTTCAAAGCAGCACTCGGAACCAAGCGACGTGTTTGGTGCAGCGCTCGCTTCCAACAGCTGGACGTTTACCAAACAATGGCCGCGTGCGTTGGCCAAGCAGGCTCACAGTGGAAGTTCGTGGACCTGGAGGACTTCTGTCGCGAGCGTGGGAAGCGGAACGCCAGCCTCAAGGCGATTGCCTTCGTCACAGATGATGAGCAGGACTGCGTCTGGCAGACAACACGCACACACACACACAGAGACACAGACAGACACAGACAGACACAGACACGGACACAGACAGAAACACAGACACCGACAGAGACACAGACAGAGACGAAGACGGAGACGGAGACGGAGACAGAGACAGAGACAGAGACAGAGACACACACACACACACAGACACAGATACACACACACACACACATTACAGGGAAACACACACACACACACACACACGTGCACATAAACCCGAAACCCGAAACCCCAAACCCCAAACCCTAAACCCTGAACCCTGAACCCTAAACCCTCAACCTTAAACCCTAAGTACTTAGAGTACTTATCAAATCGTTTACACGACAATGAAGAAGTAAGCCACGTAGGTAACCACTTAGCTACTGCATGATGAGGTGTTTTGCAGATAACGTAGCTAGAGTTAGCGATCCATAGGTACGTGGGGCAATGCGATTTGCTAATCACTTAGCTCTCTCGTGGCAGTTTGTAACTAGAGTTTAACGAAGTTTCCTAAATACTCAAGTTTGACACGTTGGAGAAGTATGTCTGCATGATCTGGAAAATTATCTGAGCGTGTGTGCTGCCCCGGAGGAAAGTTTCGTGCAAGAGCTGGGCTCCAACTGCGTTTTCACCCGGGAGACTTTTATCACGAAGCTGGCACGCATGGATGTGAAGCACACTACCTTGGGTGTTTGTGGCTTGTAGTATGATGATTGATGACGAGTACCACACACACGTGACTGATGTATGATCACACAGGGAAGGCACAAGCCACGGGCAGGGTGATTTTCAGCCTGCAAAGCAGGCCAGCCCAAAAGGGGCAGCTGGGGAGATGCGTAAGGGGGCAGCAGGCAACAGAGTGAGTTGTTGTTGGACATAGTTAATGTACTAAACCCTAAACCCTAAACCCTAAACCTTAAACCCTAAACCCTAAACCCTAAACCCCAAACCCCAAACCCCAAACCCTAAACCCTAAACCCTAAACCCTAAACCCTAAACCCAACAGGTCGGAAATCTTGGAGCCAGAGCTCTGGGACGAGGCCGGGGAACAGCGCCTTCAGGATGAGTCTTGGGACGTGGCATGACCCTGTGTAACAGTGTTGCTGGCCAGCATTGTGGTTACGAGACTCAGAGACGTCTCCGAGTTTCCTTGCGGTGGGTTTTCCAACAACACCCGAAAAAACAAGCATCAATGTGGGGGCCGAGGGCCCGGTCAAATGGTTGTTACGGGGATCAGAGACGTCTCCGAGCTCCATTGTGGGTTTGCTGGCCAGCACGGGCCGTACGAGCCAGAATCATGATTTTATGTTGACATGTTGCAGGTCAAGGCGACCAAATTGAAAGTAGTTTTCGGGAGCCGTGAGCCGTCATGGTATCCAGGCACGCCGGGCGGCAGGCGAGAGGACGGCCGGCTGCGGCTGTCAAGAAGGCCTCGACAAAGAAGGCCGTCGTGGCGAAGAAGCCAGCGGCCCGGACGAGCAAGTCTTCCTCCAGAAGTCGGCAGACCTGCGCAATTGCGAGCTTGACACGGTTGGTGTCAGACTTGGGCACGGAAGCCCGACCGGAGCTTGCGAGTTCGCTGCCGCGAGTCGCACACTCGCCGCGGACGAACATAAGCATGGGGTCTTGCTTTGCTGGCTTCGGGACCGACCATTGGATGGCCAAGACCTCGGAGTACCTGTCCGATTGGTGGCTCTCCAGCAAGTTCTGGGTGGAGAAGGAGCCGGCGGCAAGACGATTCCTGCAAGGGAACCTGGACTGTTTGAGCTTCAATGACGTCACGGCTACAGAATTCCTGAGGGATGCCCCAAGGGTAGACGTCCTGTCAGGGGGTTTCCCCTGCCAGACGTTTTCAGTGGCGGGCTTGAACCAAGCCCTCGGCGATCCTCGAGGGCTCCTGGTGGCCTACGTCATCAGCTATTGCGCGAAGAACCTCCCCAACATCATAGTGCTGGAGAATGTGAAGGGGCTTCTCACGACGCACGCGGCTGTGATGCTGGAAGTCCTGGAGTTGCTCCGGAGGATTGTTGAGCCCAGCGACGGCTCCAGAGCGTATGATACGTTCTGGAAGTTGTTGGACACCCTAGAGGTTGGTGGCCTGCCACAGCACCGTGAAAGGGTTTACATAGTGGCCGTGCGCCGGTGCGGTCGTGATCGCACGTTGCGTTGGCCTGGCAGCATCCCGCGTTGTTCCGTGGAAAGCTTGCTTGGAAGCCGGAAGAAGCTAGCCAGCTTGGCTGATTTTCCGTTGGACGATGTGACCCAGAAGACAGCGCGGAAGAACATACTCGAAGCCATGAAGAACGTGATGGTGAAGGCAGAAGCGCAGCGCCGGCCACCGATCAGCTACACGCCCATTGTTGATGTTGCTGGCACATCCCTCAACATGCACTTCGACCACTGCCCGACCATCACAAGAAGCAGAGGGAACAAACTGGCCTTCTGGTCCTTGAGCCACGGTCGGCAACTGTCGGCTGCGGAGCTCCTGCGCTTCCAGGGGCTACCGTCTTCAGGGCTGAACTGGTGCATTTCCGACAACCAAATGGGAGCGCTGTGTGGCAATGCGTTCACTGGTACAGTTTACGCGCGAGTGCTTGCAGCAGCTTTGCAAAGTTTCTACGGTTATTCTTGAGCCCCGCACAGCGTGGCGCGGTGTAGGAGAGCAGGAGCTGGGCGTTGCAAGGCTCGACCTCGGAGCAGCAGCAGAATTCAATCCGAAACCCCAATGTT